CTGTATTCCTTCTATTCTTTTGTGTTTTTACAGAGAAGAGATGACACAAAGACGACTTGAAAGTGATGGTAATGGTGACATCATGATGTAGCTTCCAACATTCAGATTATCTTAAAATCCTTTATGTGTGTGTGTGTGTGTATATAATATATATATATATATATATATATATATATATATATATATATATATATATATATATATATATATATATATATATATATATAATTTATAAAACCTTAAACAACATGCCCACATTAAATTATCTCATATCTCAATGAATTATATGTATAAATTTGCATCTAAATATGTTGTTAGTCACTTATTTACTTATTTTCTTAATGATATCATGAACCATTAATAGTTCCTGAGTAATTACATGGTATAAAAATGTTGTCATTAATCACATTGTATGTGATTTTATTAAGCACTACTGAACGATTTTTATCTCTGCTTATAAATCTTTCCATTCTGCAACAGCAAAGCTTTGAGAGCCTGATAACATTATTACATCAGCACTTACCCTGTTGACCAGAACATCTATAACCTAAATTAGCAAACCTTCTATTTAAGTAGAGATTTATAGAAAGAGGCCTGGCTAAGAAGTTATGTCTTTGATCGATGAAAAGGATCATTTTAATTTCTTTATGATAGAACAAAGGAATGTAGAAATGACAAAAAATATTAAAGGCTTTGTTGTTTGCTTGTCCATATTCTTGTATTTTTGGATAGCTATTAATCAGTAAATAATTAAGCAGTCATTTCAAGTATTAAAAAGAAAACACCAGCTTAAATTAGAGCTTCACAAAAATCAGGAAGAGCTGTCGTTCATTGGGGGGAAACATAAAGGAGACTAATGATATCCAGTGGAGGTGTGGCAATGCTCATTTTTGTCTGTTGATTTTAAAGTAGAGCTAAATGTGGCTGTGTGTTTGTATAGGTGTTTGTTTATTTCCATGTTTCAACTTTTTTGATTTACTGGGTATGAGTATTTGTAGGTGAAAGACTGTTGTGTGTGGGAAGGGCACAGAGTGGAGGCCAGACAGGTGAGCCCATTTACATCCACTTATCAAGGGCCTGAATTTGGGGATACTAAAGGTTTATTTGAAATGTTATTTTTCCAGGGAGGAATGATTGTGCAGCATACATCTTTAAAAAGCAAGTATTGTTGGGGGGGCTTTTCCATCCATAGGAGGTCAAAAGTACAAAGCATCTGGATGGTGCACATCAGATGCTTTTGATAGACATCAGTATTCAACATGATTTCTTGAGGTAGAGAAATTAATCAATCTATTTGATAATTAGAGGTGGGTTGCATGAATAAGAATCTGAAAGGGAGCATGACAAAGAGCATTGATATTTAAAGCATGCAAAGTGAAGGCTGATTCTCAAAGCAGATGGGCGAGAAGATGATTGGACTAGAGCAGGGGTCGGCAACCTGCGGCTCTTTAGTCCTTATAGTGCGGCTCGGCGTGGTTTGGGAAAATAAATTAGAAGTATTTAGCTGAAGTGTATTTTATTTATGTTAGTTCTTTTTTAACGTGTAGTTCTAAATTGTTAGATTATTGTGATATTGAAATATAAAAATATACATCTCTTTATTGACCACTTTTCACACATGGTTGCTGTACAGCCGGCTGTAGCTTTGCAGCTCACAGCTCGACACATACCAACACAACAGCACAGATAGCACAGACGTTAAGCCGGTGAGGCGTGATTGCAGGTGCCGCTCAGGTGCGTCCGCATCCCCTGCAGCGGTGCTGCAGACCACGCCCCGCCACACACATTTATCAGGTAAAATACATATTTAGGCAGAATTTTGCAAATATCTATTTTTCTTTTTTAGCAGCATAGTTTTAGTTCAGCTGGGTGTCTTTCCTTTTGTTATATTTCTTTAAGAGTTCAAAAATAATTACATAAATAAAATGTAATTTTCTCTGTAGCACGTCATGGATTTCATAAGCAACACACCTTAGTTGCTCTGTGGATTCTTTTAAAAAGCAGTTAAAAACTTTTCTGTTCAAACAAGCCTTTTGTTGATCTACGTATTTTATATTCTTTACATTCTTTACATTTGATCTTTTACATTGTGTATAATGTCTATTGATTGTATTGTTTATTTTAATATTTGTGTACAGCGCTTTGTGACTGCCTGTCTGTGAAAAGCGCTTAATAAATAAACTTTACTTACTTTAGTTGTTCATACAAAGCATAAAGGTAAAAAAAACAATATATACAGCGTTATCTGCATTTTAAATGTCAAAAAGTATTTGCGGCTCCCAGTGTTTTCTTTTGCGTGGAAACCGGGTCCAAGTGGCTCTTTGGGTGTTAAAGGTTGCTGACCCCTGGACTAGAGTAATGATGTCAGTACTGAGTTTGACAGCATGGGAAAGTGATAGTGGTGTAAAGCACTCCCTTATCAAACACACATTAACCCCTTTTATGCCCCTGAGCATTTTGACTGTCATTGCCTTACTTTTTGAAACATAATGAATGCAAGACCTAAAAACGGTGTACGGTCATGGTGACTTCACAAGTTAGACCCACCTTAAAGCAACTTCTGCTTTATTTTCTTTCTAGATGAGGATAATCTCATACTTGCAAGTGAGACTAAGCGGTAAATGAGGTGTCTGGAAAGTCAATCACTGCTGAGCAATCAATATTCACAAATTACTAAATTCCACTTTTAAATCAACCCCGGTGAACTTTGATTTCTCCCGTCACCACCAACTGGTCGGAGCACATAGCTGCCCCTCCCCGATCCTGGTTCTACTGGTGGTTTGACTTTAAGATGACAGTTGTTATGATTGGCAATATAGAAATAGATACAAACTGAACTAAAAATTGTTAAATTTAATAAAATTCAGTTGTACTTAATTTGTATTAATTCTCAGTTCATTTCATTGACAGTTGGACAGCAATTAAAACTAAAGTTTGTCTGTTTAAGTAGAACTAGCTGAGCTGGTTTGGTGATATGGTTGTTTGTCGTCTGGTATTCATTCTCAGAATATCAAACTCACCTGGATTCTTGTCTGACTGCAAACTTTAACTATCGGGAAAAATCTCTGAAAAAGTGAAAATGTAGCAGACACCACACCTATGGCTTTAAGCCTGATGCCCTCCAGATAAACACCTGCTGATGAAAGCCAAGCACAAAAGGCTTCAATCAATTTTTTTTATCAATGCATCTTTTCCTCTTGGTGGACTAATAATACAGTAGTACTGTGTGAAAGCATTGAGCTACCTGTAGTTTCTTTATGTTTAGCTAGGAAAAAGGGAAATATGTGCATTGAATTGTGTGCAAACGTACATGGAAATAGACGATATACTGCAAAAAGAGTTTGCACAACTCTAATGCTCTTGAACATCAACACAGCCTGCAATATAAATGTCTCCAAGTAGTGTTCAGGAATATCTCTTCAAGCTTCTTGAAAGACATTCAAATCTCTTTTTTTGCCTTTTGTCCTGTTCTTTGTCATCACACTGCATTGGTAGTGTGTTAGGAATAATTGGGCCACATTTGGTAACAATTGCGTGGGAACGTTCTTATCCTGTGCAAGGAGTAAAACTAAAAATAGGCCACGACATAAAAATACTGTCAGATTTATGAAATTTTTGTTTTCACCCTCGTGCGTATGTCAATAAATCAGAATTGTTTGGAACCAACAGCCTTGTTGAATCTGTATACTGCCCCACAGCAATTTCTCTGTATACCGACACGTTTATTTCCAGGTGAAGCAAAGAAAGGGGTGAAATGAGAGACAAGATAAGACAAGAGATCATGGAATATGTTTCAATTGACAAATGCTTCATGGTCACAGCTGCAGTGATGCAGATGTCGCACCGGTCTGTTGTGGTGAAGACAGAGCTCAGTGTAAAAGTAAAGCTGTTGATTTACTGGTCGATACGTCCCCTGTGCTTTCCCTAAGTGATAGCATTTTGTTTTCCTTTATATGCCTTTTTAAAATATATAATTACAGGATCTGACCTACTTACTACTGTCACCAAGTGCTTGCTCATAGGGGGTTGTCTGCTTGTTGTTGTTTTTTCTCCACTCTGTTTTATAGGCTCTTTACCTTTCAATATAAAGCGTGTAAAGTATAAAGTGCCTTAAAAGGTTATTTTTGGCAATATGGAAATAAAATGAAATAAAATTTTTAAAAATTGAATTCAATTGATTTGTATTAACTCTCAACTCATCACACTGACAGTTTGTTAATAACTAAAACTAAAGTTTTTCTGTTTAAGTAGAACTAGCTGAGCTGGTTTGGTGATATGGTTGTTTGTCGTCTAGTATTCATTCTTAGAGTATCAAACTCATCTGGATTCATGTCTGACTGCATACTTTAACTATCGGGAAAAATCTCTGAAAAAGTGAAAATGAAGCAGACACCACACCTATGGCTTTAAAGCTTTTGCCCTCCAGATAAACACCTGCTGATGAAAGCCAAGCACAAAAGGCTTCAATTCAGTTTTTTTTAAATCAATGTATCTTTTTTTTCTCTTGGTGGACTAATAATACAGTAGTACTGTGTGAAAGCATTGAGCTACCTGTAGTTTCTTTATGTTTAGTTAGGAAAAAGGGAAATATGTGCATTGAATTGTGTGCAAACGCAGCCTGCAATTTTTCTTATAATGTCTAGTTTTCAAAGCAGTTTTTTGTATGCTGGCTGCCTTTTGTCTTGTTCTTTAGGAATAATTGGGCCTCATTTGCTAACATTTGCATGGAAATGTTCCTACCCTGTGCAAAATAAAAAACAACACCTCCAGGTGAAGCAAAGAAAGTGGAAAATGTCTCTCTTTGAAAAAAACTTGCCCAACAAACTGTAGAAAACATTCCTTCTGAAACAGATTGTTGGACCACATTTTTGAAAGAAGGATGTCTTTTCAAAAACCTGTTTCAGCAAGAATTTTTTTCTCATTAAGTAGGTCAGAGTCTGTATCTTTGGGTCTTTAAAAGGCAGGAGGCTACAGAATTCTCTACTCTGTTTTCAGAGCCGAGCTGTTGCTTTCCAAACCTGCAACTGCTGTGATTCCTCCAATAACTGAGACGATGGCGAACAGTGAGTATAAAATATATATTTATATGTTTGAATTATCAATATATATAAATGACAGTACATTTAGAACAGATACAGTTTGTCTGAAATTACATAAAAGGTGGACATAAAGTCCAGATTTTACATTTTTGGTTAAAATGTTCATCAGTACAGAGGAGAGATCTTGGGGGTTCTGTCATGGTCTGAGGCTGCATTTTAGCCACTGATGTTAGCATTTTTGGAATTATGAAAAACAAACAAATGGCAGCCTGGCTGCCTCAGGAATTTAAACACGAGTCTCTAAAATTAAGTACTACTACTATTTTTAATAATAATAACAATATTAACTACAGTTATTGTTGTTATTGCCAAAACACTATAAACCATAAAATGCTCAGAATTACAATAAAAAGCATATAAAGAAAACAAAATATTATCACTTAGAGAAAGCACAGCCACCCTTTGGAGGACTTATTTCAGCCGCTACGCAAAGCTGGTGACCACTGGTCAGATCGACAAGTAAATCAACAGCTTTACTTTTACACTGAGCTCTCTCTTCACCACAACAGACCAGCACATGGTCACATGGTCACAGCTGCATCACTGCAGCTGTGACCATGAAACATTTGTCAATTGAAACATATTCCATGATCTCTTATCTTATCTCAACAAGGCTGTTGGTTCCAAACAATTCTGATTTATTGACATACACACGAGGGTGAAAACAAAAATTTCATAAATCTGACAGTATTTTTATGTCGTGGCCTATTTTTAGTTTAGAAATTGGGGTGGGGCAGTGTACATATGTAACAAAGCTATTGGTTCCAAGCAATTTAAATTTACTGACATATGCACTGTGCTGAGAACAAAATATATGGGTACGCATGTTTCATAAATCTGATAGTATTTTTGTGTGCTGGGATTTTTTATATTTATTTTCATTTTTTGCACAGGGTAAGAATGTTAGAAAATGAGGCCCAATTATTCATAATGCACTACCAATGCAGTGTGATGACAAAGAACAGGACAAAAGGCAGCCAGCATACAAAAATGAGCTTGTCTTTCAAGAAGCTCGAAGAGATATTCCTGAACACTATTTGGAGACATTATAAAAAAGATTGCAGGCTGTGTTGATGTTCAAGGTCATTAGAGTTGTGCAAACTCTTTTTGCAGTATATCGTCTATTTCCATGTACGTTTGCACACAATTCAATGCACATATTTCCCTTTTTCCTAGCTAAACATAAAGAAACTACAGGTAGCTCAATGCTTTCACATAGTACTACTGTATTATTAGTCCACCAAGAGAAAAAGATGCATTGATAAAAAAAAAAATTGATTGAAGCCTTTTGTGCTTGGTTTTCATCAGCAGGTGTTTATCTGGAGGGCATCAGGCTTAAAGCCATAGGTGTGGTGTCTGCTTCATTTTCACTTTTTCAGAGATTTTTCCTGACAGTTAAAGTTTGCAGTCAGACAAGAATCCAGATGAGTTTGATATTCTGTGAATGAATACCAGACAACAAACAACCATATCACCAAACCAGCCGTACACCAACTACTTAAGGTCAAACCACCAGTAGCACCAGGATCAGGGAGGGACAGCTATGTGCTCCGACCAGTTGGTGGTGACGGGAGAAATGAAAGTTCACCGGGGTTGATTTAAAAGTGGAATTTAGTAATTAGTGAATATTGATTGCTAATCATTGATTCTCTAAAAAAAAAAAAACATCTTGTTCTCACAGATGTTTGAAAATAGTTGAAAATTATTAACTCTTTTATAAACTTTCATTTTTTCACAGTTTTCAAAAGCCCACAATATGTGAAAGTGGCACTAACAGGAAGTAAATAACAACTTAAAAAGAGGTCATTGCAGAGGAATTTATGATCAAAACTGAGATATTTGAGATAATTTGAATATTTTTGAATCCTAGAAGAGTTAAAAACAGTAAGATAAGAAACCTGTGACTCAAATGTCATCACTACCATTTCTGAATTATAACTTCCTGTAAAATTTCAAGCTTGCCAGTTAACAAAGGCTTTTCATGTCATACTTATAGTTGCTTTTGTGGCTCTCTAAGATAATTACATTTGTACTCATGTTGTGTTTTTTGTTGCAGGAATTAACAAGGTGAATTTTCACTGCGTGACTAACAACACTGCTCATCGCACCATTGAAATTACAAGAAAGCAGCTGATTGTTAGGCGTGGCCAGCCCTTCCTGCTGACCCTGGAAATGGTGCAGCCTTTCAGTGTCAGAGACACACTCCTGCTCACTGTGGAGACAGGTAGCCACTTGAACTGGTTTTAAAAGCCAATTTTTCTGCCACGCTGTTTGTCATCACATCACATGCTTCAAAACATTAAAATAGTCCACTGATAAATAACTATTTACAATATAATGTTTAAAAGTTCTTAATATGGTAAAGTGTCCATACAGGAGTTAAATAACATTATATTTGAACTCAACAATTAACATAACACATTTGTAACTCTACAAAATCACCTGTTGATGTCCTCCAGCTTATTGGCAGTCTATTATGGTTAGGCTCTGGTTAACAACCATTGCCTAATCATAGTCCTCAGTGACCTGGTGGAAGTAAAGAGGTTAAGTAGAGTTTTTTGAAGAAAACAACAAAATAAAACTGATTGATCCCTGAAATGTAACAAGTGCTCTTCCCCACTTCTTCCTTACTTCAGGTTCTGCTCCATCAGAAAGACATGGAACACGTTCTCAGTTTGGTAACCCGTCTGCCAAATATACCAGTGATGCCAAGGCAATATGGAAGTATGAGATTGACAGGAGTGCTGTCCTGGAGAGGGGCATTGTGGCTCTCTCTGTGACCCCACCAACTGACGCTCCTGTGGGGAAATACTCCCTGTCTGCAATGACACATGGTGAAACAAGAAATCTGGGAACTTTGGTGGTGCTCTTCAACCCCTGGTGCTCTGGTAAGAAGCAAAGTTTTAGTCCTGATAAGTAAAACAAAAGAAAAAGAAAAAAGACAGACAATCTGTAACTAATAGAAGTTATTATCTATAGATGGAGGTTTTTGTTGTGTTTTTGATATATGAACTTACCATAAAAGCTGAGTCATTCTGCTAATAAATTTGCTAAGGATGCTTGCATTATATTTGCATGTGTCTGCAGATGACTGGGTGTATCTTCCCGATGACAGAGAAAGACAAGAATATGTGATGAATGAAGAGGGAACCGTCTACACAGGAACATCACACTACATAGGTTCACAGCCCTGGATCTTTGGACAGGTCAGCACCAGAGTGCTGCCATGCTTATGCTGCCATATTTGGCCAGTATTCTGAAGGTTACACAAAATTGAATGTTAGTTACAACAAAGTGATTTATATGAGAAACAGGAAGATTAGCTAGTCAATTATCTGTCAGTTTTGTACTTTCCCTAAACCTGTAACAATTAGTAATATGAGTGAAGCAAGAAAGCTGAAAATATATTTGGAAATTAGCTGAAGCACATAGTCATGTGAAAACTTCAAAGGACTGTATACAGCATAATGAAAAACTTAAGTAAATCCAATGATTTGACAGCTTCTAGAACCTACTTTAACAGCAATACACAGAGTTTTGTTTTCTGCATGGCTTTATGACTTTCTTAACCCACTGTACTGACAGTTGATATGAGGTTTTTGTGCTAATATGTTCTGTTTGGTTTTTCTCCAAAGATCGTTCTGGCCAAACATTTGCACTTTGGTATCATCTGTCTTCTTCTTCCAGAAGTCTTGTGATTTGTTGAGCTGCACTGCGATGTTGTTTTGAGAGAAAAGAGGCTTTCTCCTGGCAGCTCAGACTTGTTCACTCTTTTTCTAATTGTACTGTAGAGAACATCAAGATGTAACATGCTAACTGAGGCCTGTAGAATACCTCTGGGATTTTTCCAGGTATCCTGAGTATTGGATGGTCTGATCTTAGGGTGAATTTTCAGCAACATAAAGTTATAAGAATATAACCAGATAATTATTTAGAGAAACCAAAATCATTAAAACCAGAAGAAAGTAAATGGTAAATGGCCTGTATTTATATAGCGCTTTACTAGTCCCTAAGGACCCCAAAGCGCTTTACATATCCAGTCATCCACCCATTCACACACTGGTGATGGCAAGCTACATTGTATCTACAGCCACCCTGGGGCGCACTGACAGAGGCGAGGCTGCCGGACACTGGCGCCACCGGGCCCTCTGACCACCACCAGTAGGCTACGGGTGAAGTGTCTTGCCCAAGGACACAACGACCGAGACTGTCCAAGCCGGGGCTCAAACCGGCAACCTTCCGATTACAAGGCGAACTCCCAACTCTTGAGCCACAATCGCCACAATCAGTAGAATATTTGAATTTGATTGTTTTGTGTTTTTTCACTTTTTAAAATCATTTTAGGCTCTTTATCTTCCTATTTAAAGGGCTTTGAGACAGTTTTTGTTATGATTTGACGCTAGATTTTTTAAGACTTGATTTGAATTTGAATATGACATAAATACACTAAAAAACCTGGTCTGCGCTTCCACAGGCCCCCGCTGGTTTAGAGACTTATTCCTCATGAAGAAAGCAAGACAATGACGGAACCGGGTTTTACATGCTAGCAAGGGAGGCTGTTGGAACCAGGCTCTTGGAGCTAAACGCTCCTCACCTGTCTCCTAGCCAGCATCAAATAAACAGCCTTCCTTGCTGCCTTTCATTGAAAACAGTTACAGTACACACAAGCACCACCCATTGTAAAAGCCCCCTATGGTTCTAAAAGATAAGGCACTATGTGTGTGCACGTGTAAGCACGTGTGTGTATGTGTGTGTATGCATGTGAGTGTGTGTGTTTGTGTTTGGGGGTGCGTTTGTGTGACCTCCTGCTTATCAAAAGGGTAATAAAAGCAGGAAGCTTACTAACCAAGAAAACAAAACCCTCACATAGATGTCCCTATAATAAAACACTACAGCCTCACCCACCATTTAACAGGCTGGAGAGGTGGTCAGAGACAAAGGAATGTCTTTGATCATACAGTTTGAACTAAGACTTACAAATTTAAATAACACAATGACAACATTTAATAATTTGACTCTAACATGATGTTGTGACTTTTCTGCTGATTACAGGTGACTTCTTTTATCAGACTAACAATATTGATGTTTCCATGATGCAGTCACTGGAAGGCAATTGTCAATAATTTTCGATGTAAAAGTTAAAATTATTGATGTTGGTCCAAAATAGTAATTATACAGCAATACGCACCAGTAGCATATTCTGTTAGAAATCCACATTACTTTTATTTTTCTACAAGAGAATTAAGAACGTTAAAGTGTGCTGTTTAATTTGAAGAATATTTGATACACCGTGTCATGACAAAAGTGGCCTTTGAGCTTTTGACTGGTCACAAATTCATGACAAAGATCCCTAAGCTTACAGCCAGATTAATAATACATTCTTTCCTGCAATTGGTATTGTAGCTCTAACTTGTGCTTCTTACCCAGTTCGAGGAGGAAATGGTTGACATTTGTCTCAAGATATTGGATGCCAACCTCAAACACAGAAAAGACCCAGCTGGTGACACCTCTGCTCGTTGTAACCCCGTCTATGTTAGCCGTGTGATCAGTGCCATGGTAGGACCTAAATTCACGTGCATTACAATTTACATTTAATACTTCATTTAAAAACTTACAAGTTAAGTTTTTAATGCTACCTGTTGTAACAATAATAATAATATAAACCAAATTTACTCTTGTGCAACCAATGGATGAGCAAGAATGGAGCATTTGTCTGATTTGCAGGTCAATTCCAATGATGATAAAGGTGTACTAGTGGGACGCTGGGATGGAAACTATAATGATGGATGCAGCCCCACCTGCTGGACTAGTAGTGTTAGCATCCTTCAGCGCTGGTTTCAAAACCGCTGCTATCCTGTCAAGTATGGACAGTGCTGGGTGTTCGCTGCTGTAATGTGTACAGGTACTGTGGTTACTGTGTTGTTTTTGTGTGGCAGAGTATTGCCATGAACTTTAAGCAAGACCGAGACGTCATTTGACTTGACCATTTTGTTGTCTGTGATTTCAGTGATGCGATTCTTTGGTATTCCATGCCGTGTCGTCACCAACTTTCAATCTGCTCATGACTCAAACAATAGCCTCACTATTGATGAATATTATGATGACTATGGAGTCCGTAGCAAGGAGGCCTCTGAAAGTGTCTGGTAAGACATTCAGACAGTCAGTCAGATGTGCAAGTAAAATGAAAACTTTATTATTGTTTTCTTGCTGTTTGAGTTTTGAGGCCTGACTTGAAAAGGAACACAAACGTCTGTTAAAGTTACATATTGATAATACTAATGACATATTTTCACACAGACAGAGCTATTATATTATGCAATTTAAAAACCTCAGAGATATAAACTGGAAAGCTCACCTTTCTTGTGCAGGAACTTCCATGTGTGGGTGGAAGGATGGATGAAACGACCATACCTCATGAAAGGTGGTATCTATGATGGCTGGCAGGTCTTGGATCCCACTCCACAGGAAAAAAGTGAAGGTAAAAACTATTTAGTTTTTATTTAGAAATGAATGCACTGAGACAGATGCACAAATGAATGATTCCAATGAGAAGTACAAACAATTATTTTGTTGGTTCTTTAAAAAAGTTTTTGTTAAATTTGTAAAAGTCCAGCTTTGCTTTTGCTGCTCCAGGTGTATTCTGCTGTGGTCCAGCCCCAGTCAACGCTATCCTACGTGGTGACACAGACGTCAAGTATGATGTACCATTTGTCTACGCTGAGGTCAACGCTGACATTGTCAAATGGATGGTCTGTACCAGTGTTATAAAATAACCAGCTGTATACTATACAGTCTGTCTATACAATCTGTATTTCTACCTTTTATCTGAAGAATTAACTCTTTCAGCTCTTTTAAACTCAGTTTTAACCTTAATCCTAACCTTAAAAGATCTGGTACCTACCATTTTTATCAAGTTTCCCTATTATATGTTATTGTTATTGACACGTCTTCCACAGAGGAAGCAGAATCAGGGGATGATGGAAATGACCTGTTCATCACCGGGAGTAAGGTCACTGAGGCAGTTAAACAACAACCTGGTGGCAGGGTCCCTGGGGTGGATGAGGTTCACCCTGAGTTCCCGAAGGTTCTGGATGTTGTAGGGCTGTTTTGGTCAACACGCCTCAACAATAGAGATCAGAGTACTTCTGGATTAACAGACTGGTGTGGTGGTTCCCATCATCAAGAAGGGGAGCAGAGGGTGTGCTACAACTGTAGAAGGATCACACTCCTCAGCCTCTGCTAGAAAGTCTATGCCAAGGTGCTGGAAAGGAGTGTCTGTCCGTTAGTTGAATCTCGGATACAGAAGGAAAAATATGTTTTTCATTCAATTCAATTCAATTTATACAGCAAGTTTAGTTACAGCACTTTCAGAAAGACATCTACTGTGATGAAGTCTACTCCCCACTGCTGTGTAATCAATTATTGTAAATTTAAACAGTGTTCAGGAAACACTGTTAAATGTTCAGTTTTTATGCCATATGTTAAAACAAGATCTAGAGTGTGATTAAAGTGGTGGGTGGGTTCTTTTACATTTTGAGAGAAACCAATTGAGTCTAATAACAGATTAAATGCCATGTTGAGGCTGTCATTTTTAGCATCTACATGGATGTTAAAATCACCCACAATAATTATTTTATCTGAGCTGAGAACTAAATTAGATAAAAACTCTGAGAAATCAGAGAGAAACTCTGTGTAAGGCCCAGGTGGACGATAGATGATAACAAGTAAGACTGGTTTCTGAGTTTTACAGCTGGGGTGGACAAGGTTAAGCATCAGGCTTTCAAATGAATTAAAAGTCTGTCTTGGTTTTTCGTTGATCAATAGGCTGGTGTGAAAAATTGCTGCCACACCGCCCCCTCGGCCTGTTCTTTGAGATATCCGGAAGTTAGAATGACTCGGGGTGTTGATTCATTTATTCAATTCATTTATTCAGTTCAATTATTAAGTCATGTACTAACAGAGACTTGGAGGAGAGAGACCTAATATTTAATAATCCACATTTCACTGTTTTACTCTTTGGTTCAGATGTGGATACTGTATTGTTCTTTCTTTGTAATTGTTTATGTTTAAGTCGTTTGTTGCTGGTTTTTAGTTTGTTTTTTGTCTGTTTGGGAGCTGACACAGTCTCTATGGAGATGGAGGAGAGAAGCTGCAGAGAGGCGTGTAAGACTGCAACTCTGCTTCCTGGTCCCAACTCTGGATAGTCATATTTTGAAGGGTTTAATAAATTTGTCCATATTTCTAGAAATGAGAGCTGCTCCATCCAAAGTGGGATGGATGCCGTCTCTCCTAACAAGACCAGGTTTCCTCTGGAAGGTTTGCCAATTATCTATGAAGCCCACATCGTTTCTGAGACACCACTCAGACAGCCAGCAATTTAAGGAGAACATGCGGCTAAATATGTCACTCCTGGTCTGATTGGGGAGGGGACCAGAGAAAACTACAATATTGGTTCAATATTGGTTTTAGTGACCTCTGATTGGCGTAACCGGGTGTCATTACTGCCAATGTGAATTATAATTTTACTGAATTTACGTTTACTCTTAGCCAGCAGTTTTAAATTTCCTCCAATGTCTCCTGCTCTGGCACCTGGAAGAAAAATGACTATGGTTGCCGGTGTCTCTAGCTTCATGCCTCAGAACAGAATAACCAATTACCAGAGTTTGACCACCTGTGGGTGTGTCGCTGAATCGGGAAAAGCAGGTAGACACATGAACAGCTTGGTGGTGTTCAGTGATCCTGGCCTCCAGACCTGCAAATTGGCTACATTTGTTACAAGTATCATTACTGCCAAGCAGTAACTAAACATCTGACACAATGAGCAGGAAAGTGCAGGAGGAACAGGTGAAGAGGCCATGCTGCTAGCGACTCGGCTACAAGCTAAGCAAGTGAAACCCTAAAGACACAGCGAGTGAATACTTGGACTCTAAATTGCTTCGAATGAAGCATGTGAAGATTGCACTATGAAATAAGATTTCTTTGATTAAATTGCTACGCAGATAAACTACACAAAAACACCACTGTGTGTTTGAACACAACACAATACTCTACTGCAGAGAGCGCGAACACCAAGTGACAGCGCCACCCAAAGCATCTCACAAGGTTCATCCCTGTCACGGAACACTAGAGCAGCTCTTTACCCTGTCTCGTTCCCATTGGGTGTTGGACAGCCAGTGTTGCCCTTTGTCACCAATTCTGTTCATAATTTTTATGCACAGAATTTCTAGGCTTAGCGAAGTGGCAGAAGGCTTCCACTTGGGCAGACTCAAAATTTAATCTCTGTTTTTTGAGGATGATGTGGTTCTGTTGGCTTCATCAGGTGGTTGCCTCCAGCTCACACTGGAGTGGTTCGCAGCCAAGTGTTAAGCAGCGGGTTAGGTTGCTGCCCCCTGCGAAAATGGATGGATGTTGTTGTTAATTGACAAGATGTAAGACCATTAAGGAGCCCAATGTTCACTCTATATTTCTCTTGGCTACCCCTTCAAACTCATTCAACATCCCAAATGCAAACAGAGATCACACTTACATCGTCTACAATTTAATGGCGATAACTTTAACACAAAAGTTATTCTGACTGACAAACATAAGTGCAGATTTACCAGTGGCTTTAGCTTATTAAATTATGCAGTCCTGCACAAAGTATTGACAATTTTCTGTTTTGATGTTACTTTTCTCAGATCAGTACTAACGGTTCAAAGAAGAAAATGTACACTGACTCCATGTCAGTGGGTCAGAGCATCTCTACCAAGGCTGTTGACTCCTGGAAAAGGGTTGATATCACTGACAGCTACAAGCACAGGGAAGGTAAAACAAACATACAATGCTCATTTGCATTGCTCGTGTCAACTGGACATCAATAGCTTTATTATTTGGATAACTGTTTGGTAACATTCTAGTAGAACTGCTAAAGGCAGTTTCAGTTCAAATGATCCCAGACAACACAAACAAGTTTCTTATGTTTCCTAGCTCAGTTTGCTTACGATCTTGAGTTTATCAGTATTTCTAGTTTAGGTTTTCTTGGTTTTTATTTGATCCTGTTCATGTTTTTGTCTTGTTTCTATGGCATATATATGCCATTTTGTCTTGTGTCTCTCTGTCCTTCCCTGTTTCCCCAGTTAGGTCAGTCTCTTCTTCTGTGGCATGTCTCTGTGTGGCACTCTGTCTCTTGTCCCTGGCTCTCTGCCCCTCTCTCTCCTCCCTCTGTTCCCTGGGTTTCATCTGTCTGCATCTCAGAGTGTGTGTTTCTCCTACTTCCTGTTTCAGTTTGTCACTCTCTTATCATGTGTGTTCAATGTTCAGCTGTGCTTTACCTGTCTCATTGGTGGATTGTGTTCAGTCGTGTTCACCATGTGTCTTCTCTCTGTCCCAAATCCCTCCATCCCCCCGTCGGTGATCTCCCTCATTCTTCAGCTGTGTGTTCTGCCTGCTTGTCTAGTTTCCAGTAACTCCCAGTTCAGTTTTGTACATTCTATAGTTAATCAGTAAAGCTGCTTTTTGAGTTTAGTTTTGCCTCCAAGAGTCTGCATTTTGGGTCCCCCAATCATGCCCGCTTCACACAGCACATGCCATATTTCCCTACAGGCAGCGCAGAGGAGAGAGCCATCTTCAAACGTGCAGTCAGAATGAACTCAAAAGAAGGTCAAGGTGACATAGAAGAGGCACCCCAGTATGTTGAGATGAAAATCAAAGAGGTAAAACTCAAAATACAAGACTGGGAAAACTTTGTATCATTACAACATGATATAAATACAAGAATGTGTTGATTTGGTCAAAATTCATAATGCACGACAAGTAAAAACAAACAAACAGTTGAAACAGTGTGAAATGGGATGGGGCCTTTAAGGAAATTATCTAAGAATTATCTAAGAATAGCAACTAGAAGCCTGGAAAGCTGCAGACTCATCACCATCCTGAATGAGGCCAATGACGGTGATATCATCTGCAAATTTTAGGAGTTTAACAGCCGAGTTCTTGGAGGCGCAGTCATTGATGTACAGCAGGAGCAATAGTGGTGAGAGGACCGAGTTTCAGAGGTGATCTCCCCCAGCCTCACTTGCTGCTTCCTGTCTGTCAGGAAGCTGGTGATCCACTGACAGGTAGCTGGTGACATGCTGAGCTGGGAGAGTTTGGAGGAGAGAAATTCAAGCACAATGGTATTAAAAGCCGAACTAAAGTAAACAAACAGGACCCTGGCATAAGTTCCTGGGCGGTCGAGATGTTGCAGGATGTTTGAGGCAAGGAGGGTGAAACTCCGTCTGGTACAGGGGCTTTCATGGACTTGGGGGTCAATGTCTGAAACAGTGTCGCGCATTGCAGGTACCAGTGGCAATAAAATCAAAACACTGCATCAAACGCTAGTATTTCCAGCACCGGTAATCATTAATTCTGCGGTTTTAATCCCTACTTGCATTTTATTTGCCCCAAAAACAGTTCTGTACAAAGACAGACTTGACGAAAAGGCAACAAAAAGTATGAGGAGAAAAAAAAAAATCAAAGGATTGAAACGGCCTGTGTGCCACTCGTACCCACAATCCTTTGCGGTTTTACCCCTGAATGACGTCACATTTCCAATCTCTATAGAGATTGAAAATGTGACGTCATTCTGGGGTAAAACCGCAAAGGATTGTGGGAAGTCGTGGGAAGAGGTACTAGCGCACGCAGGTTTTCAATTGAAATCGGTTACACAGCGATAAAAAGAAGCAAAAAATAGCAAGAAGCTGTTGTATTATTATCTGCAATAGCCGGTCGCATGTCAGCCACGGGAAGCCGACAGGTAAAGAGATCAGTTGATATCGGATTACGTCATTGAAGAGAAATTGTTCAAGCCATGTTTCCGAAGTAACAAAGAGCCGACGGATGGCCATCAGCCCATCTGCCAGGTCTTTGTTTGCTTCCACAGGGGGTGGGGAGTGTCTGTAGTCGGTGATTTCCTGCAGGCCCCTCTACACTGACGCAGGGTTGTTGGCTGAGAGCCATTCTTTCAGCTTCTGGGAGTAGATCCTTTTGGCTGCTTTGATCTCCCTGGTCAGTGTGTTCCTGGCCTGCTTGTACAGGGCCCTGTCACCACTTCTGTAGGAGTCCTTCTTGGCCTTACGAAGATGTTGGAGTTTAGGAGTGAACCATGGTTTATTGTTGTATGTGCAAAAGGTCTTAGTTGACACACACACACACACACACACACACACACACACACACACACACACACACACACACACACACACACACACATCTTCACAAAAACTGATGTATGATGTCACAGTGTCCGTCAGCTCATCCAGATGCTGAGATGCAGCTTCGAAAACAGTCCAATCAGTGCAGTCAAAACAGTCCTACAGTTCCTGCTTTGCTGCGTTAGTCCACTTCTTCACAGTTTTTAATACAGGCTTGGCATGTTTGAGTTGTTGCCTTTAAACTGCAATAAGATGGACCAGGCAGTGATCAGAATATCCCAAGGCTGCCTGGGGGACAGAGCGAAATCTGCCGGGCTTACAACTTCATCGGGTGGACCGTGAAGCGGAGCTCTCAGGGAAAACAAAGGGTGGTGGAGTCTGCTTCTACATCAACGAAGGTTGGTGTACTGATGTCGCAGTGTTACAGAAATACTGCTGCTCAAACCTGGAAACTTTTTTCATCAACTGCAAACCATTTTATTCACTGCAGGAGTTTTGTTCCTTCATGCTGGTTGGAGTTTGCATCCCTCCTCAGGCCAATGCAAACAACGCACTGGCTGACCAGATTACCACCCTTGAAAGAAAATTCCTGGATTCCTTCACAATTGTCCTTGGGGATTCTAACAGAGCAAATCTAAACCATGAACTTTCTAAATATAGACAGCATATAGACTGCCCCACCAGGTACAACATTATATTGGAGCACTGTTACACTACTTTAAGACAGTATCTGGGATTCGCTGGGAAGAGAGCGGAGAGTGTACATTCACGAGGTGAATGGAGGGGAGTGTTGTGCGGAATCCCGGCTGATGTTACACCCCTGAAAACAGGGGGAAAGAATCACGAGAGTGATTATGACTTGCGTCTCTCGTGCAGTCGTTTATTGCAGTGAGGAGAACGCGCGAAAGCCCCCTAGTGGAGAATAGAGACACTACAAATCGATCCAAGAAAAGGCTTACTAGCCGATCAGTGATGTATAGATTGCAGTTCTCTTAAGTAACATGAAAGCCATTAATATAACATGAAAAAATAACCTCTTAACCATTTTCTTACCATATTTACATTATTTGTCCTTATATGAACTGATATGAATTAGTATTAACTGAACAGTTTTATATGCAGTAGTCCTTCAACCTGTCACACTGATGTACAGGGTGGGCCATTTATATGGATACACCGTGGGAATGGTTGGTGATATTAAAGTCCTGTTTGTGGCACATTAGTATATGTGAGGGGACAAACTCCTCAAGATGGGCGGTGACCATGGTGGCCAATTAGATGTCGGCCATCTTGGATACAACTTTTGTTTTTTTTTCAATAGGAAGAGGGTCATGTGACACATCAAACTTATTGGTAATGTCACAAGAAAAACACTGGTGTGCTTGGTTTCAACATAACTTTCAATGTAACTTCAACACCAGGAGACCAAGGCGATAAATGGCCAGGACATTAAACTGAGGCTCAAGCTGAGCAGTAAGGATCACACCAATAAGGTGTTGTCTGTCCGTGTCAACGCTCAGGCCATGAGGTACAACGGCAATCCAGCGGACAACATCCTGAACAAAGTGCAGCACGTGACACTTCTGTCTGGACAAGGTCTGCAGTTCTTATCTTACAATTTTGGTCAGCATTGTAATTTATTTGAAAAAAAAAAAGAAATGATATAGATTTCTATGATTTGAGGCTGCTACTTCAAACTCCACCCCAAGTCTCAGAAATGAAAGAAATTAGAAAGAAACAAGAAATTAAAGTTTCCTGATGATACCATGAATCTCTGGATCAGTTCTCACATTCCTGCCTCTCACTGTATGTCCTACAGATGTGGCCATACCTATCCAGATCCCCTTTGCAGATTACAGTAAATATATGGTGAACTACGACAGCATAAAGGTTTCAGCAGTGGCCAGTGACAGTGATGAATACTACCAGACTGAGACCAACATCACCCTAGAGCAACCAGTCATCTCCATGAAGGTCATTAAAATCCAAATTTTGTGTGTAATATAAGGAAGTGCGTGATTTTATAACACAGGAAGTGAAAGCAGATTCAAACTAATGACATTACTTGGTAACAAAGTATGTGTTCATGGTATACGGTAGACTGGCTGTGTGGCATGGCCTTACAACGATAACTGCTGATTGGTTATTTGACAGTCAAAAAAGCGTCACCTGAACTCAGTTGATGAACAGGTTCTATGAGATTCTGAAAATTCTGGACTTTGTTCTATAATTTGCTGCACATTAATGCTGTACTATATCTGTGCTTCTTTTAGGTTTTGTATCCAGTCCATGTGAACCATGAAATGACATTGGAGGTGGAATTTAAAAACCCGCTCAATGAGAGGCTGAGGAACTGCTCCCTGACAGTCATTGGATGTGGCCTTTTTAAATCAGACTATATACAAAGGTCAGTACTGAGACTTAACATACAATCTAACTCATTACAATCACAGGGTATAAGGAACAATGTGATTGTCTGGAGTTAATGATAATATTTCCCATCTTCAACCAGATGCTTTTTGTGAAACAGTAATTTGCTTTTTATGTGAGAGTTACAAAAACAAATATTGATTCTAGTCAGATTTCATTTCATCATCTCAGCGGTTCAATAATACTGGTTAAAAAAAACTCTTTATTTTCCTTGTACTCTGCCAGTTCACTCATTTTCATTTGGTTTAATATTGATGTTAATGCAGTAACCTCATTATGTAAAATATCTTTAAAACAACACTTTTAAACCATAAACTATTGATGCTTGTGTAAAGATGAAACAAATTCATGGAAATTTTCTTGTAACTTTAACTTATTTAATTCAAGCCATCGTTTGTCTGCCACGTGTCTGATATGTTGCCACAGAAAAAGAATTAAAAATCTTCAAAAAGGAAATAACGAGAGAAATAATCCATTAACTACTCATTTTTGTATACGTAGCCTTTTGTTTTGATTAAAGTTGTGTTTTTTCAAAGAATTGAAGTGGCCACAAAAGACTTTCAGATTTTGATTCATGCTGCATATTTTAGTGCTCCAAACAAATCTAAATTTTCTTTTTTTTCTCCAGTCTTCAAAAGAAAAGAAACATTTCTAACTTACAGTGCTATGTTGTTATAGTTCCAGCTCACAATTCCATTTTGCATAAAGATAAAAATAAAAAGAAACAGTATGCTAATCCTAATTACTGCTTACAGACTGCTTTTGTAAAGAGTTTAGCTAAAGCTAGGCAACCGTTTTCCTTTATTCCCCCCCCAAGCTAAGTTGGCTTAACTAGCCTAGGTTCTCATCCAAACAGGGCTTGAAGTAAAATAAAAAATAATAATGTTTTTCTATTTACAGTGACCTGGGTGAGGTAGAGCCAAAGGCCACACTGAAGCTCAAGATTACCACGACTCCCTACAGAGCTGGACTGAAGACCGTGGTTGCTGACTTCGACTGCAGCAGCTTCAGAGACATAAAGAGCTCCTGCATCGTTGACGTTAAACCATGAAGCTCTGGTTTCATTTACAGCTCCCTCTGTGTTTCTGTTTCTTTATTTAGTTTAAACTGGGATAGATTAATCTACTACACCTTGTTATAACTATCATCCACAGTAACGTTACTATCCATAGTCAAGGTTTTGTTTGTTTTTTTCCCCACTGGCTGAGATATAATCAAGTAGATTTTTTATTTCAAAGATGCAAACTGCCCAACATTTTCGGGGATATGCTTTGGGACTAACAGTTACCATAATTAATAATTAATGAGTAATGTAATCATTTTAATAAAAGAAGAGGGAGAAAACCGATTTCCTGATATTGCTTTGTAGCTTTTCTCTGTTTGTGCATTAATTATTATTGGGTTTAAATGATTGTGGGAAAATTATGAAGCTGTATTTTGTAACATGTTATAAACATTTATCTCATCTCTGTAACAAATTTGAATATAACGGTGATGAACCGAAACAACATTTTAGGCTGGAAATTTCACTCCAGATTATACAACTAAAAGCTTGAGAGGGAAATGATCCACATTAGCAGAATAAAAAAATATTATGGAAATATTCTGGTGAGCAACAATTTGATCCCAGTGCTGTTTATGGACAGTCCAGTGCTAATAACAAATTATTGTCCTTTGAATGCAAATATCATATCTGTAGTTACCATTTAAAGAAAAAGAAAAAAAGCATATTTAAATTCAAAGACCTCTGTGTGTAATCAAATACTCAAAAACAATGTAATGGGATATATTAAAGGTAACAACAAATAAAAACAGTGTTTCTCTTTATTGTCTTATATACATTCCTAATTCCCAGGATACATTCATGGCCTGTTCTGGGAACATCACTTTTTCCATAGTTTAATTAAAAATTAACAAACTGTGATGACGTTTCACTCAAACGCAAGTTTTTTTTTCTTTAAGGCTAGTACAACAATTTATCTGTTGGTAACCAATTAAAATAAAATATATTTTTGTCTTTGTCATGGTTTGCAGAGTGGCAGGCAGGAGGTAGGACCCAAAAGCAGGATTCATAAACGGGGAGTAAACCAGGGGCGGAGCGTGGGGGTGGCTTACTGGGCTTAAGCCCGGGTTGTTTTGTCAGAAGCCCGGGGTCTTTTGGAGTGTAATTTTTTTCATAGTTAGATGCCTGGCTGACAACTGTATAAAACAAAAAGTACACACAATATTCGAAGCACATAGTGCACACTGTGGGAATTTACGACTGTGCGTGAATCCCCCCTGATATTGGTATGATCTGAGCTCAAGCACTAAGCGACTGAGGGAGGGGGCGGGGCAGCTGCTGCCTGTGAGTGCGCTGTTGGGGAAACGGAGCCAGCCATACTAAGGAGAGCTTAAGTTTGAGCAGGTACCAAAGAAAATCATTCGTACTGTACAAATAATGTAAATACGACGGTTCATCACAAAAGATTGATATCAAACTGATCACTTGACCCATATTACGTTACTTGCTCTTCAAGTGAATCAACAAATGGCGAAATGAAAAACCGAACAAATGCTATTTTTTTTAGAGTCTTAGCTTATGTGTGTTTATTTCATATTTTCAGTTCTTACCCTCCCCGACTAAATCGGTTTCAGTTATGTACTGAAATATAAGAAAGGACATTAGAATCAGAATCAGAATCAGAAAGGGGTTTATTGCCAAATGTTGAGCAGGTTTACAACATCAGGAAATTGCTGCGGTGCTTCAGTGCAAACATAGTGTCATAAGTTGGGCTTAAATAGACATGAAAAAATAAAAGTAAGAATAAGAATTAAGAGTGCTACGTAGAAAGATATATACATGAGTGCAGGTGGTGATCAGTGCCAAACATGGAATGATGCAGTGACACAGCGTAGGGTCATGTGTTAGTGGCGGGAACAGTCATATGGTTATTGTTCATGTGTCCAACAGCAGAGGGGAAGAAACTGTTCTTATGGCGAGAGGTTCTGGTGCGAATGGACCGGAGCCTCCTGCCTGAGGGGAGCAGGTCAAACAGACTGTGTCCAGGGTGAGAAGGGTCAGCTGAGATCCGAGCTGCACGCCGCAATGTCCTGGAGGTGTACAGGTCCTGCAGAGATGGGAGTCTAAAGCCAATCACCTTCTCAGCAGAGCGCACAACACGCTGCAGTCTCAGTTTGTCCTTGATAGTGGCTCCAGCGTACCACACGGTGATGGAGGAGGTGAGGATGGACTCGATGATTGCAGTGTAGAACTGCATCATCGTCCGTGTTGGCAGGTTGAATTTCTTCAGCTGCCTCAGGAAGTACATCCTCTGCTGGGCTTTCTTGATGATGGAGGTGATGGTGGGCTCCCACTTCAGGTCCTGGGTGATGGTGGTACCCAGGAAGCGGAATGAGTCCACAGAGGTGATGGGGGTGTCAGTCAGGATGATGGGGGGGAGTGGGGCTGTGTGCTTCCTGAAGTCCACAATAATCTCCACTGTCTTCTGGGCATTCAGCACCAGGTTGTTGTGGCTGCACCAGGACACCAGACGTTCAACCTCCCTCCTGTAGGCAGACTCATCCCCGTCCGAGATGAGCCCAATAACGGTGGTGTCATCTGCGAACTTGATTAGCTTGACAGACTGGTGGGTGGAGGTGCAGCAGTTGGTGTACAGGGAGAAGAGCAGAGGAGAAAGAACACAGCCCTGAGGGGAGCCGGTGCTGATGGTCCGGGAGTCCGAGACATTCTTTCCCAGCCTCACATGCTGCTTCCTGTCCGTCAGGAAGTCAGTGATCCACCGGCAGATGGGATCAGGCACATTCATCTGGGAAAGCTTGCCTCGGAGATGGTCTGGAAGGATGGTGTCGAAGGCAGAGCTGAAGTCCACAAACAGGATCCTGGCGTAGGTTCCTGGGGAGTCCAGATGCTGCAGGATGAAGTGTAGGGCCATGTTGATGGCGTCGTCTACAGACCTGTTGGCTCTATATGCAAACTGCAGGGGGTCCAGGAGGGGGGCCGTGAGGGTCTTGAGATGGGAGAGAACTAGGCGCTCAAATGACTTCATGACCACAGATGTCAGAGGGTTAGAGGGTTCTTTCAAAGAAAAAACTCAGGTAAATGTTATTTTATATATTATGCTTTGTATGCTGTTCAGTATATAGAGGGGGAGGAGGTGGATAACAAGTACAAGTACCTCGGGCTGTGGGTGGACAATAAACTGGACTGGTCATGCAACACAGAGCACCTGTATAAAAAAGCCCAAAGCCGACTGTACTTCCTCAGGAGGCTGAGGTCTTTTAACATCTGCAGGAAGCTCCTGAGGATGTTTTACCAGTCAGTGGTTGCTGGAGTACTTTTCTATGCTGTGGTGTGCTGGGGGAGCAGCACAGCAAAGAAGGACTCATCCAGGCTGGAGAAACTGATCAGGAGGGCTAGCTCTGTGGTCGGCATGAAGCTGGACACTCTGGTGACAGTGGCAGAGAAAAGGACACTAAAAAGAAAACAAAACAAAACTGCTGGACATTATGAACAATGCTGGGCATCTTCTGCACACGGCCATTAACAAACAGAAGAGTCTGTTCAGTGACAGGTTGGTTCTCCCCAAGACAAGAACCATCCATCCATCCATCCATCCATACATGCGTTTGCACCTTTCGTCCACACGTAAACGGCGTTTTTGGTCACTGAAAACGGAGATTTTTAAAAACTCCGGGCAGGGTGGATATTTTCTAAAACTCCGTTTTTGCATTTACGTGTGGACGAGAAAAACAGAGAAAACGCAGCGTCAAAGATTTGCGCCTTTTTTTGACGTCACAGTGTGCGCCACGTTGTTGTTTCGGTGAAATGAATTTTTACAATACTGTTAATTCTACTCTCTGCAGTGTTTAAATGCTTACATATACACACAGTTGCTGTCCCTCCACACATACGACTCGGTTCTGCTTCTATGCCCCAGCTTTGTTTACTTTTTCCCACCGAGGCTTCTAGACTTCTGATTGGCCAACATTTCTACACGGTTAGGAATATAGCGCCACCTGTTGCTTTGGCATGTTCATAGCAGCGTTTTCCTTCATTTACGCCTTTACGTGTGGACGGGATTATTTTTTAAAAAGAAAAATCTCCGTTTTCAAAAATACCCGTGTACGTGTGGACGTAGCCCAAGAGGGATTTCAGTACACAGCAGGATATTCACATTTTTAACCAGATATTTACATACACTTTAGGGAGAAAACATAAAACATTTTTACTGTACAACATCAATTTACAGTAAACTTTTGTTTTAGATAAATATTGAAAACTGCAGAAAACATTGCACAAGTGAAAGGCTCACTCATGGCAGAATGGGCAATTACTGACAAAGTCACATGCCTATTAACAGATGGGGCTTTCCAAAATGGGGGCTTGTGCAAGGGAGCTAAGACTTAAACATGCCATATGCATAGCTCACACCCTGAACTTAGTGGTGAAGAAGGCCCTTGACCAGACCCCTGAGGTCTCTGACATCCGAGCCAAGTCCAGGAAGATCGTGGGATATTTCAGGAGCAGTACCCCTGCAAAGGTAAGTTCTTAAGTGGCTTAATTACAGTTTCTTTAATGCTACTTATGTGTATAGTTCTGCTCCCTTGACAATCTAATGTATGCTTTTTTAATTGTATTTTGTAAGGAGAGGCTTTCAGTCGTGCAGGAACAACTAAGGAAGCCTCAACTCAAACTAATACAGGAGGTGGAAACCCGCTGGAACAGCACTTGTAATATGCTGCAAAGACTGTTCGAGCAAAGGGAGCCAGTGGGTGCTGCTTTGGCAAGTCTCACAACAGACATCCCACCTGTTTCATCTGAGGAATTTGGTATAATTTCAGAGTGTCTGATTGTCCTAGCACCATTTAACGATATAACCACTGAGCTCTCTCAGGAAAAAAGGGTGTCTGGGTCAAAGGTCATACCTTTGCTCACTATGCTGGATCATTGCCTCAATGAACAACTGGGGAAAAAAAAAAAAAAAAAAAAAAAAAAACACCATCCATTGGGTCTTCTCTGGCTCAGAAGCTGAGGATGAGAGAGAAGCTAGATAAAATACAGACCATGAGCATTATGTTCCTTGCGACACTGCTGGACCCAAGGTTCAGAAAACTCTGGTTTCTCAGCCCTGCAAGAGCTAGCGAAGCAGAAAAAAAGACTGAAAGCAGAACGTGCTTCCGTAATGAGGGCCTCCACCACCACAGCCATCAACGTCACAATCTGTTGAGGCTGTTTCCCACGGTACTATTGTTATTGCATTTTAGTTGCATTTATATAAACTGATTGTTGGGTTATTGTACGATCTACTGTACAATATAAAGCGCCTTGTTGTTATTTGGCGCTATAGAAATAACATTGAATTGAAAATTATTTCTCTTGGCGAAGGCGGTCGCACTTTTTCTCCTCTCCTCCTTCCCCTTATCTTCCCTGCTTAGCCTCTTGTGTCCTTGTCTTGTCTCGTGTGTATTACTTTCCCTGAACAGTCTCTCACTGTCGTTCTCTAAAACCTAAAAGAGAATTATGGATTTGATCAACTGGTCTCTGAATGCTATTGACACCCTTTTCTCAACGAGAAGTCTGGGCTCGGGAGAGCCTGAGTGCCCTGAAGGGACTTTCCCTGCCAGATACATGATGGATGGGTGACAGAACTGGAGGGTCATGTGCCTGGCGGGACTGTCGATCGAGGACGCTGAAGACATCTACCTATTCGGAACCATGATAACAGGGTTCTTGCTGATTGGAGCTGGCTTAGCCCTGACCTATTGGAGAAATAAGAGAGCGGAACCGGCTGTTCAACCCCCCCCCCCTCCCCCCCCAAGGCTGCCTGCTGGAATCGAAGCGATGGGACGAGGCGCGACCTCTCACAACGAACGCAGCATGGTTAACACCTTGGAGACGCTTGCAGCTGCTGTGAAGGCTCAAAGCAACACCATTGAGCGTATGGGGGGAAACATCAGAGAGAGGCCTGCTCAGAATGAGACCCTTGAGCGACAGTTGGATCACATCGCAGAACGGCTCACTGCAGTTGTGGGGTCTCAGATTGAGAGACCAGTGTCAGAGTGTTAAAGAGCAGCTTGAAATTCTCTGTGCTGCTCGCATAAAAGAAAAATCAGCAATATTCAACATGCGGACACCACGGCGCCAGCTGCTCAGGCCCAAGGCTGGAGCCGAACAACAACTCCCTGATAACGACTGTGTGATGACTATTCTTCCCATCCCATGCAAGGCCACCTGGGTTGGCTGGCAGACTGTTTACTTAGCCTGATAGAGTGAAGGACACTGTCTCAGCTGAACTCTGGACACGCACACACATACACTTACACTGATAAGCACGCACTCATCCCCCTCCCTTTCCAAACGCCTTCGATGCTTGTTTCCTGTGGAAGATGGCGGGTCTGTGTGCGGCGCTGGAATGGTTGCGCTGTGCAGGACGACTGCTGTGTTTCCTTCAGATTACTCCTCACCCCCTACCCAACCCCTGTGGCTTGTCACGTGCTCCAATGTTGTGATGTGGACATTTATGTGCTCTCTGTGCAGAGGAGTTTTTGTTTCCTGTTCTCATGCTGTCCTCCCATAGGTGCCCAGCGTGAGGAGAGGTCTCTTTTCTTCCTCTTGTACTTTTCCCATTGTTGTGTACTTTCAGTGTTTTTTCTGTAACGCTGCCGATCTCCGACTGTATTCCCATGTGTGTGCGTGTGTGTGTGTACGTCGGGGGGGGGGGGGGGGGGGGGGCCTCCTATTCCTCTGCGGGGCAACCTGCATATGGCCAATAAAACATTCATTCACATTAAAAATTGAATTGCTAGTATCTCATAAAACTCTCCTTATTGTTTAGCTAACAACCTGTGGCGTTGCCTGAATGAAAGTGTCAGGTAGACAGACACAAAATGTGACAGCAGACGCAAATATTGAGGTCCAACGGTACATGATGGAGCCAAATATTGGAAGGCTGGAGGACCCCCTTAAATATTGGGAGAGACAAAAATATGTCTACCCTCACTTATACATACCTGTGTACCCTGCCTCATCTGTGCCCTGTGAGCGAGTGTTTTCAAAAGCAGGGGAAATATTGTCCAAAAAAGAAATCGCCTACGACCTGCCACAGTGGAGAAACTGTTGTTTTTAAATAAAAACCAATGATGTGTCCCCTGAACACTAATCACTGTCCTTACCTCAATGTTACAAAAGCACAACTACTGTCCACACCCCAACCACACCTCACCTCACAGTAAATGATCATTTCCATTTTTAGCATTTCCAAATAATCATTTTCCATACTGCCAGCATAAATATACACAGTATCATGCCATCACTACAATATACATGTTTTACACACTGCTTTTGTTGTTGACATTTACAGGCTGTGTGCAAAAGGCCACACTCTTCAAATTCATGCCAACTAATATTTTTACGTCCAGTAGGTGTCCTACTAGAGCAAATGAAGCTTCAAGACGCTTTGCGCTGGGGTGAACCAATTGGATGAAAAGGTTCAGTGCTTCATGAAGCTTCGTCTGTCCATCACTACTCAAAACGGCAGATTTATTGCTGGAAAAATTCAAAAGATGAATACAACAAACTAAACTTGGATCTAGAAACTAGAAACTCAAAATAGGCAACAAGGAAACAACCCTGGTACTGAGATCTAGGCAGGAGCACGAGGGAAACACAGCAGTGAGGGTACATGATGGTGTGACATGACAACAGACAGAAGAAAACACAGGGCTTAAATACTCAAGGGAGTAACGAAGGAATCAGACACAGGAGGAGAGCACAGCTGGGATCAATCACACATAACGAGACATGGGGGAAGCAAAACTGAAAACATTAACAAAGGACGGGAGACTATCAAAGTAAAACAGGAGATGAAGACTAGACAAGGAAACATCACCAGACCCAGTACCGTGACTGTCTTATGTACTCTTTATTCCCAGCCTGCATTCATGGCCTTATCTGGGAACATCTCTTTTTCCAAGGAAAATCACATAGTTAAATTGAACATTAACAAACTGTGATAAGGTTTCACAAGTTTTTTCTTCAAGGCTAGTGCAACAATTTATCTGTTGGTAACCCATTACAATAAAATATCAAAAACACGTGTTAGTCCATTTTCAGTACACTCTGATAACAGCATGTTTACGGGAAATACAGACCTCCCACGCTGTCAAACTGTCAGAATTGTCTGTATGTCTCATTGTGCTCATATGCCTTGAATTCAAGCTCTTAAAAACATGATTTGGGGATTCTTTTGACTAAATAGTCAGATAAAACATAGTATACTGTTTATCACAGATCAAAGTTATCAAGAACATTTGTTTTGAAACTATTTTAAATTCTTATACAGTCACATAAAGTAAACACAGAAGTGTATGTGTATGGAGGAAATTATCTGTTGTTATACTTGCTTCTGCTTCTGATACAGCTCACACTACCCTGTATCCCTGAGCTGTGCAATCATCATCTACAAACTTCACTTGGTTCTTTTCAGGAACACAGTCTGCAGGTTTCCCAGCATAAACCTGCATGTTCCAATCATAACTGTTCCAAATTATATGATAGTCGTGATTTACCGGGTGTGAGTGTTTGCTGCTGAGAGTGTGGGAGAAGGGCACAGAGTGGGGGTGGTGCACCTCAACCATATGCTTTTGATAGCCATTAAATCTGAACATTATTTATTGAGATGGAGAAATTTATTTATTTATTTGACCCATCATGGCAGAACAGAATCCGAGTGGTGACAGGATTTAGGACAGGAGATGGGGAGGAGGTGGTCCATCACTGTTACTCAAATTTGTATAAGAGATGAGCTATATATTTAGAACTTGTCATAAAATACAGCTTCATAATTTTCCCACAATCATTTAAACCCAATAATAATTAATGCACAAACAGAGAAAAGCTACAAAGCAATATCAGGAAATCGGTTTTCTCCCTCTTCTTTTATTAAAATGATTACATTACTCATTAATTATTAATTATGGTAACTGTTAGTCCCAAAGCATATCCCCGAAAATGTTGGGCAGTTTGCATCTTTGAAATAAAAAATCTACTTGATTATATCTCAGCCAGTGGGGAAAAAAACAAACAAAACCTTGACTATGGATAGTAACGTTACTGTGGATGATAGTTATAACAAGGTGTAGTAGATTAATCTATCCCAGTTTAAACTAAATAAAGAAACAGAAACACAGAGGGAGCTGTAAATGAAACCAGAGCTTCATGGTTTAACGTCAACGATGCAGGAGCTCTTTATGTCTCTGAAGCTGCTGCAGTCGAAGTCAGCAACCACGGTCTTCAGTCCAGCTCTGTAGGGAGTCGTGGTAATCTTGAGCTTCAGTGTGGCCTTTGGCTCTACCTCACCCAGGTCACTGTAAATAGAAAAACATTATTATTATTTTTTATTTTACTTCAAGCCCTGTTTGGATGAGAACCTAGGCTAGTTAAGCCAACTTAGCTTGGGGGGGGAATAAAGGAAAACGGTTGCCTAGCTTTAGCTAAACTCTTTACAAAAGCAGTCTGTAAGCAGTAATTAGGATTAGCATACTGTTTCTTTTTATTTTTATCTTTATGCAAAATGGAATTGTGAGCTGGAACTATTTATTGGTGAACAACACTTGGTGGCACTACCAACAACATAGCACTGTAAGTTAGAAATGTTTCTTTTCTTTTGAAGACTGGAGAAAAAAAAGAAAATTTAGATTTGTTTGGAGCACTAAAATATGCAGCATGAATCAAAATCTGAAAGTCTTTTGTGGCCACTTCAATTCTTTGAAAAAACACAACTTTAATCAAAACAAAAGGCTACGTATACAAAAATGAGTAGTTAATGGATTATTTCTCTCGTTATTTCCTTTTTGAAGATTTTTAATTCTTTTTCTGTGGCAACATATCAGACACGTGGCAGACAAACGATGGCTTGAATTAAATAAGTTAAAGTTACAAGAAAATTTCCATGAATTTGTTTCATCTTTACACAAGCATCAATAGTTTATGGTTTAAAAGTGTTGTTTTAAAGATATTTTACATAATGAGGTTACTGCATTAACATCAATATTAAACCAAATGAAAATGAGTGAACTGGCAGAGTACAAGGAAAATAAAGAGTTTTTTTTAACCAGTATTATTGAACCGCTGAGATGATGAAATGAAATCTGACTAGAATCAATATTTGTTTTTGTAACTCTCACATAAAAAGCAAATTACTGTTTCACAAAAAGCATCTGGTTGAAGATGGGAAATATTATCATTAACTCCAGACAATCACATTGTTCCTTATACCCTGTGATTGTAATGAGTTAGATTGTATGTTAAGTCTCAGTACTGACCTTTGTATATAGTCTGATTTAAAAAGGCCACATCCAATGACTGTCAGGGAGCAGTTCCTCAGCCTCTCATTGAGCGGGTTTTTAAATTCCACCTCCAATGTCATTTCATGGTTCACATGGACTGGATACAAAACCTAAAAGAAGCACAGATATAGTACAGCATTAATGTGCAGCAAATTATAGAACAAAGTCCAGAATTTTCAGAATCTCATAGAACCTGTTCATCAACTGAGTTCAGGTGACGCTTTTTTGACTGTCAAATAACCAATCAGCAGTTATCGTTGTAAGGCCATGCCACACAGCCAGTCTACCGTATACCATGAACACATACTTTGTTACCAAGTAATGTCATTAGTTTGAATCTGCTTTCACTTCCTGTGTTATAAAATCACGCACTTCCTTATATTACACACAAAATTTGGATTTTAATGACCTTCATGGAGATGACTGGTTGCTCTAGGGTGATGTTGGTCTCAGTCTGGTAGTATTCATCACTGTCACTGGCCACTGCTGAAACCTTTATGCTGTCGCAGTTCACCATATATTTACTGTAATCTGCAAAGGGGATCTGGATAGGTATGGCCACATCTGTAGGACATACAGTGAGAGGCAGGAATGTGAGAACTGATCCAGAGATTCATGGTATCATCAGGAAACTTTAATTTCTTGTTTCTTTCTAATTTCTTTCATTTCTGCACTCTAAAAATATTCATGGTGTTTGTAGGTAGAACTTAACAAAAAAGCATTTTTCTACTTAAAAAAGTAAGTTGTCTACATGTAAACGTTTCAGTGAGTTGACTAATCAATGTTAAAAGTCAGTGCAACACAGAAATTAATAAACACCTCCTTAACTTAAATGTTTGAGTATATTGAACAAAATACTTTTATCATCAATCAACAACAGAAAATATTAAGTTTGTGTAACATGTAAAAGTGAGTTTGAACATCCTTCGTGTTTGAACTGCCCATAACTGGACCATAACGAAAAAATAATTACAACTGCCATAAAAAAAAGAAGAAACGGAAAAAAACAGAGGTTGGCACCACTACCTGGTAAGTTTCTTGTTTTATAGTCTTTTATAAATATGTACTAGTTACAGGAATTTACTGCTTAAGTTTAGTCTGACAATGGCAGCTGCATGATGTGAATTGACACTCTGTGTTATGTTAGTTGTTACTCTATAAAAGTATAAAAGAGTGTTTGTATTTTTTCCTGTTGTTAATGAAATCTGTCAGTTAAATCTGTCACTCTGGTGGTTACTTTGGTTAGCCATAGGTGTGTATGAGACCATGCATACAGCAGAGGGTAACCCCGTAGCATATGTTCGTATCATCACAGGCGTAGCAGTTGTCTGCATTCTTATCACTTTGTGGGAGTAGAGGTGTGTTTCCCCTAGACTGTGTTCGGTGAGTTAACTAAGCATTGAATTTCAAAATAGATTAATTACAAGTTATATTTGTACACTTTAAATTTGATGGTTTTAATCATAGTTTAGCATAGTAAAGTTGCTAAAGTTAAAGTTGTTAGCTAGCTTTCTTTTAGCTAGCAAACGTTCCTCGCAATTGTAAATTTTTCCACTTATACTTAAAATTTGTCACTTGTCAGGGTGCATTTGGTTAGCTGATAGACCTTGCAGACAGCAGAGCATGTTCAATTTGAACCTGTATATGTTCAAATTAACCAGTCAGCAGCTGCCTGCATTTTTATCATGGTGTCAGAGTAAATTTGTGTTTCCACGGTCTTGGGTGAGGTAACTAATTACTGACAGTGTGAGTAAAAGTATTTCTATCAAATGTATTGGTATTTTAAGCTCAAATGTGAAATATGCCTGAGGTTAAAGTTAGTTGACCTAGCAAGAAAAAACAAAATTGTGTGTGTGCACATAAGACTTGCTTTCGTTACCTTCTGTAATTGTAAGCATAATGTGAAGTGTGGGATTGTGGCATGTCAACAGTGGTCTTCAAATAATTAAAAAGAAAATTCTTTCACACATTTGGATATGACACAATTTTTCCAATTTTAAACTACAGTCTGTAGATTTATTTATTTATTTATATTTTGAATTTTGGATTCATCTTTTCAGTGTTTCATTGTAGTGTTTTAGAGAAGGTTTTATACTTAAAATAACTTGTTAACTCAAAAGCCTTGGTAAGCCTTTGTAGTCTTTTATAGTCCTTAGAACTCAACAAAAACTGTTTGAAATAGTCTCCAAATCTAGGTTACATTTACTTTCACTCACCTTATCCTACTGCTAGCAAAGGGTGCATTGAAAGCAGGGCAGTATGTAACAGATTAAATTCAAGTTATAAAATTAAATTGTTTATTTGTTAAAAACAAAAATTAAATCAATAATTAGCAAAACGCTAGTCCTATGAATGTAATATGTTTGACTTTTGGCCTAGTAAACTTTTTTTATTCTCCAGAGTTCGGTGGAAACAAGAAGAGAGGTCACAATCCATTGCCTGGTGGTGTATTTGAAAGAGAAAGAAGAGGATCTCTTCAGAGAACAGCTGGTAGGTATATATATATATATATATATATATATATATATATATTTGCCGCTTTATTTAATATACCTTTACAAATCTTTATAGTGGTTCTCAAAGTTGGTCATCAGGCCCCACTGCTCTGCTTGTTTCTAGTAATAACTAAACACTGTTGATTGGCTGGTGTGTTCAGTTAATCAGAGGTTGTAGACACCATTGTGGAGTAAGAAAAACAAAGTGAATTGGTATAAGATAAGATAAGATAAGATAAGATAACCTTTATTAGTCCCACACGTGGGAAATTTGTTTTGTCACAGCAGGAAGTGGACAGTGCAAAAGTTATGAGGCAAAAATTAGAATATAACTAGAATGTGCATTTTCTGAAGAAACTGCAGTGTGAATGCTTGAATCTGAATGTATGCACTGAAATGAATTAATTTCTGAATTTTGAGTTAAAAATTTTGAATGAGATAAAAAAACAAAAAAACAACCTGAATTTAACCTGAAAACAACAGTGCTGAACTGCTAAAAGCTGAAGGTTACACAGAAGAAGAAGTTGGAAAAAAGCTGAAAATGTTTTAATTGTAAATTAGAAAACCTAAGAAATGAGAAAAGAACATTTAGAGTCAGAAAACATCTGAAAGAATATTAAAAGGTCATATTCTTTGAATCACTGAATGACTAAAATGTGATCCCTCCACTTGGACCCACACAGTTTAAAAAGTTTACATCTCTGAGCTTTGAAAGACAAGATGTTGGAAAGAGAACAACGATGGCGACGTTTTGAGGGTAAAATGATGGCTTTAACACTGTGGACAAAGCAGCAGTTGAAAGAGAAGTGTTTAAGATGAATCTTGGCAGAGAGAGAGAGAGAGCTCGTTAAGCAGGCAGGTGTGAGCCTGGTTGCTATAGTGACCGCACCCAATGGCTCCATACACACAGACACAGACATGCACCTCACTTTTGCTGCTTAAAATGAACAGAAAAGTCAGGCCGAAACAAATCGCTCCCAAATGAAAAGTAAAAGTCGTATTGACAAAATTCTTTCACTGTGAGCGACAGCAATGTCTAGTCTACCAAATTCTCAGTTTTCATGTCTGTGGAGTTTATTATATGGACGTGGTGACAGTGGAAAGACACCATGCTCTTCTGATTTTCAAACGAACCTTCTGAGCCATTTTAACATTAGAGTCTATGGAAGAGTTGGAGGGAGGAGGCTGTGCATTGGTGACATTTATGAAAGAACCATAACACCTAGTACAATAGTAAACACATTGGATGAAAGAGGACAGCCATGGCTACGTTTTGAGGGTAAAATCATACCTGTAGAGCAAACGCTGTGGACACAGCAGCAGTTTTAAAAAAGATTTTAAGATTAATTTTTTTGCTCCTCTCACTCTAGCAGTTGAGCTGCCTCACTCTAGCCCCAACATTCCGTCCCATACACACCCATTATAAATTTTGAAACGGGTGAAAAAACATCATGAAACTTAAACTGGAACTGAAGAAAAAGTATAATAGATATTGAAAAGATAAATGCAAGTTGAATAGTTGAATGTCTTGTCTTCGTTTTAAAGTTTGAATGGTGGCTCTATGTCAATGTATGTGGAAGTAGTAAGAGTTTAAAAATGAGTAAGTTGAATGAGGATTTGAAGGGTCTCCCCATTGAAATACATTATAAATTTTGTTGAATAAAGTTGAATAAAATTAAAAATATAAATGTTAAAAATATGAAAAATGGAAGCAGTGTTGTCCAAAAGAATAGGAATCTAACGGTGTTGGAATGGTTTTTCTAAGTTGAACGGTTTTGAAGGAGTAGGATTACAAAAAACGTACGGAATACAGAATAAACTAGAAAAATTTGCATTTCCTGCGAAAATGCTGTGTGGATGCCTTCACTCTGAAGATGTCTGCTGAAAAAAGCTGAAAAAGTTGAAAAAAAACCCCAAAAAACATTGCCCTGAGCAGGATTTGAACCTGGCCCTTCTGGTCTAAAGGCGGCAATTCACCTCACTGCACCAAACTCATTCACACAAAGAAGAGGTGGAGAGAGTGACAATTGTGGTGAAATTAGCAGAAGCTGCTTAGAATTGTGCTGATAAGAGGTGAAAAAGCTAAACATTTGGCAGAAAAGAGGTGAATCAGAAGAATTTCTGCTGAAAAGAGGCAAAAAGATGAGCTGAAAGGAGGTGTAGAAGCAGAAGTGCTTGCTGAAGATGGCTGTATGTGTAATGACACACTGGAGAGCAGTGACACACAAGAAAGCAGAGCGCATGCAAGCAGGGAACATGTGTAGCAACTGTCACAGGTAGGATTCAAACCTCTGCCACCGGGTCTCACGGCAGATGCCCTACCCTCTGAGCCAAATGAGTTCTGGTCACAAACAAAGATATGATGAGAGGGACAATGTGCACTGTGGAGCAGAATCTCAAATTAGCAGAAAAGAGGTGAAGAGGAAGAACTTTGTTGTGAAATGAGGTAAAGAAACTGAAATTTGTGCTTAAAACAAGTGAAAAAGCTGAACTCTGAAATCCTGCTAAAACAGCAGAAGAGGCTGATATTTTTCAGCTACTCATTGAGCCAAACTGGTTCTCACGTAACTGAAAAAAGGTGGAAAAGCTTACAATTCTAATGAAAACAGCAGAAGAGGCTGAGATTTGTGCTGATAAGAGGTGAAAATGCTGAACCAATCAGAGGTACTGCTTCTGTCTGCTTCATCAGGCTGTGTACTTGTATGTATTTCTGCCATAGACTGTTAACAAGAATCTGAGGTCCATATTAGAAAAGCTGCTAAAATCATAAAACTTTGCAGAATTGTAATAAATTATCAATATGAATTACTGGTCTGTGATAGTGTATAAATTTGTACTCAAAAACTAGGTGGGATAGAAGCATAATTCTTGCACTGGGTGAATCAGCGGACTTTGGTGTACTTTGACTGCGATTTACATAGCTCTTTGTATCTCCGTCGCGGAGATATGACGAGAGAAGAAATGGCTTAATTTTCGGAGTTTGAAAAATGAGAGGAGGACAGATTTCCACCCCTCAAACATGTTTTTGCAGAAACACTGTAATTTCGCTTAAATAGTATGAAATAGCAG